ATTCCTGCAGGGAAAAGCCTAGATAATGTTTGTGCCTGGTTAGAAAGGAAGGCAGATTTTGCTAATATTTTTCTTCCATGAGGCCCAAATTAACATTTTTTTTTTTTTAAATGTGAAGGCATCCCTTAGCATCCAGATGATCTGTTCTGAAAACAAGAGGTGTATAAATGAGAAACTTGACTTTGGGTCACTAACTGTATCAACACAGCATCTGAGAGACTGAAATAAAGCAAGAGCTATGCAGTGTTTATATAACTATCAGTACCCAGAGGGCATTTCCAGACCCCATACCCTGAGATTTGGAGAACACTTGAAGGCTTGGACTGTGCTTTGCATTCAAGACACTCTTCTCTGTGTGCTTTGTAAGCAAGAACTCTGATAAGCTTTTTCCAGTTTTGGAAATTCAGACTGCGTGAGAGGTGGGTTGTGTTTACCTTATAGTCAAGCTGGAATAGATCCAATATGATTTAATTTAAATGTCTTTGTTTTGGGTAGAACTTGGAGTTATTTTTCAAATAGAATGATCTTTCTTTCTTTCTAAACGCATGAAATGTTTTTTTGTCCCTTTCTTGTTTAAATGTAGATAACTTTATAATTGACTTTAAGCTGGGAAACTTTCCAGCAGAGCATAATTATTCTTTCCTTTTGTGCAATGTTTTTTATTAGTGCTATGAAGCTGGGCTAATGTCACAATACATAAAAACATGGAAAAAAGGAGACGTGGTCTTTTGGCGTGGGCCATTTGGAGGTTTCCCATATCAACCTAATAAGGTTAGTTCCCTAAGAGACATTGGATGTTTCCGCTTGTGGCAGCTCGCTTTGTTTAGTACTCCAAAGGGAAGACATCAATTTGATTATTGTTTTCATGATTATTTTAGGGACTTCCTGGGTCACTGTACAGTGCTGCAGCATTAGCAGTCAATTGGAGAAAGTACACCTTATTGAACTGCAGAATATTTAAGAAGGAAGAAGAGAGGGAGGTGGACGGGAGACTGGAAAATATTAGCAAGGCTCTGTTCATCACTTGCATTAGAAGTTCCTGATGTGTTTAACAAAGGGAACTTATTTTGCACCAGCAATGAGCGTGGATTGGGTTTTGCCTTGTTTGAACCACTTTGCTGTTTTGTGACTGAGCAGAAGCGAAGGAGAGGTGTTGGTCTTTTTTCTGTTGGGTATTCCCTGAACTTTAGCAGCTCCATGGAGGTGTCACGTCACCCAGTCACTCTGCAAATGTTGATCCCACCTGCTGATACCAGGCTCGCCGCAGAGAAAGGCAGATCCTGTTTCAGAGGAAGGCTTCTCACACATACTAATTCATTTACTTAATTCTGACCTTTCAAACGAGGAGCAAAATTGAAACACTGGTCATTAAGATCCCAAAGTCTTTTTCTTTCTTCTTTTTTTTTTTTCCCCCCCAGCAAAAATAAGACTGTAAAATCCCAGTGGCTGAGCTCCACACAGAACAGTTGTTCTGCTTCTTGAAATACGTTCCCTGCTGTTTCAGGCTACTGTTCCCTTCTCTTCTTAAAAGCTTACAGATGATCATTCAGGACAGAACATGGCAGTCATGCCTAGAAGCGCCTGCATTCAGGGGCTGTCTGGGTGATGCGTGTACATGCAGCACCTGAGCAATCTTTAAAACAACTTGCTATACAAAAACTGGTTATTATTTAGGAGTTATAGCTCCCGAATATTAGTTCCATAGTAAATTTTTTTTTATCTCTACTTGCTGCCAGTAGAATAGGACTCAGATTCAGGCAGATCAGATCCATTCAGAATAAACTGCCTGGCCAAGACAGAGTACAAGCGGCCTCTGAGGGCTTAAAAGGGGGTTGAGTCCCAATTCTGGCATTACTGTGCTGGTGGGCAGCTGGGGAAAGTCCTTGGAACCTTCTGTCCTCCTGCACACAGCACCTTACTGTCTATTTTGAATGGAGTGACTGTACCCCCTTGCAGGTGGGAAGCACTATGTGCTGCTGGTAGCTCTTTGAGAAAAATGAGATAATGCTCCAGGAAGATGGATGGATCATGATGGAGAAGAAACCATTTCCTCCAGAGAACATTCAGGATTGTACTTTGCAGCATCCAGTATAAACACAGGGAGCATTTCCAGTGGGAAAACAGCATGCAGTGGGTCAGCAAAGTGTACTGCAGAATTGAAACTGAAATATAAATTAATTGAAACCAAGGCTGAAGTTAGGATAAATCATTATATTTGCATAAAATCTGTTTTCGTTAGATGTGATATATGTGCCCTGAAAGTGCTATCTGTAATCCTTTGCAGAAAAGTATATTATGAGATTTGAATTTACCAGTTCATGACCTTTTGGCACGTTCTCTCGAGGGGCCCTTTACCGGTGTGGCAACAAGGAGGAGATGACCTTGAGCACATCCGTTTCCACTCATCACAGCTCATTCAAAATTCTCTGTTTTGTTGTTAGCATGGAGAACTCCTCATGCTGGCATCTGGTACTGGCCTCGCACCAATGCTTCCCATCCTCCAGTCCATAACAGATGATGAAGAGGATGAAACCTTTGTAACTCTTGTTGGCTGCTTCTCTACATTTGAAAAAATTTATTTGAAACCTCTTCTCCAGGATCTGGCTAGATACTGGAATGTCAGAATATTTTATGTCCTAAGCCAGGTAAATAAATGGACAAGAAGCGCGTTTGTGTGAGGGTGCTGTGTGCTAGGTGAGCCTCTGCCACCTCTGCCTTTCCATGAGCGTGATCTAATTCTTTCCCAGTCATCGAGGCTATGTTGTGATCCAGTAGCTGCTTTTCTTAAATCTACTACATATTCTCACATTGCTGCCAGTCTGGAGAATTTCAGGGAAGCGACTGTTGCTGCTTGTCCCTCTTTGCCTCCTTGGTAGCTGTTCTGTCGGGATGGACCCACTGGTTCGTAGTCACTGGTGATTATTCCACCCCACATCAGACAGTTGTTGCTGCACCTAAACATTTGTGCAAAGAAAACCTGACTTTGGGAGACTCGCAGCAAATAAACTATTTCTTCTTTCCTAGAACCAGTGCCTTAATCTGTCCTCATCTTCCATTCATTGCTCATGGCTAGAGCTCTCTTCTAGTGTGTTAGCACCAACTTCCCAGCAATTATTTTTCCCAGCTGACCCATTTTTAAACTTCTTAAAGTTGTTTCCCCTTCTGTAAAATTACTTTTTCTGCCAAATCCATGGGCTGAGGGCATACCTCTCAGTGGTCTTACATTTTGAGCCGTCTTTTCATTTCCATTTGGTCCCAAAGTTGCCTGTGTTCTGCATAGATTCGGTGGCTGAAAATTACTTCCCTTAGAAATGAGGAATCGTTGCAGGGAGGATATAGAAAGAATTATTTATGCTAAGAGAATGAATCCCATTGCATTTTTAGTCTCTCAGATGAGTCATTTTTTGTGTGTCTCATAGCGGATCTGCCTCATACATTATGTTCCACATATGTCCTTGGCAAGTTGAGACTAGGTATAGAGAAAAGTACTTGTGACTTAGGCCCCCCTCAGCTGCTCTACAGGAGCGTAACCAGTTGTCGTCTCTGGTGACATAGCTTAAATACCCTTTTCAGGACAGGGCTGTCTCAAGAGTGTGAGGAGGTCTTGAAATTCAATCAGTGAAGGGCAAGAAACCCACCTGACCCCTGTCAACACTGTCTGCCCTGCGTGTACATCTCTCCCTTTCTTCTCCTCTCTTAGCAGGTTTGTAGTCCATCACTGACTTGTGCATCCTCCCTTCTAGGATTAAAGATCTGTCTGTCTCAGTATTTCACTCTGCTGCCTGTCACCATCTGAGCGCCTTCTGCTTCTCATGAATAGCAGCAGGGGATTCCCCACTGGATCTAACAACACGGGATCTAACACTTCTCATGGGATCAGAGCTGTGTTTGGAGCAGGGCTGGCTTCTTGCAGTTTTGGTCGAGGGAGATGGGACTGAAAGAGACTTGGGAATGGGAGAGGCAATAGAGAGGAATAGGCTTGGGACTTAGGACTTGGGAATAGAAAAGGTGCGCTGGGAAGTGGTTCTCAAAGGAGAAGGGTCTGCAGCATTTATTAGCGATAGTTATGCTCTGGTTTTTGTTCAGTCCCCTCTGAGTGGCCAGGTCCCGTGGCAGGGAAAGATTTGATCTGGGCTTTGGAAGAGGAACGCAGCTCTTGGGAAGGGTCACTTCTACCCGGATGGAGCCACAGGGGTGAAAAGCATCCTGTGCAGTACTCTGAGGGGAGAAGGGAGGTCTGGCAGTGAGCAATCAGTTGTCCTTTTTAACATGGCACACTGCAAACCCTTTGCCTTTTCAGGAAACTTCACTGGAAAAGCTTCCTTGGAGCTATCGGGAAAACACCTACATTGGTCGTCTGAATGAAGACTTGATGAAGACAATAATAAATTCCTGTCGGAGAAAGCCATTTGTGTTAATCTGTGGCTCTTCCACATTCAATGAAGATATGAGGAGGTATTTGAAAGCTGCAGGAGTAGAAGAAAATTCCTGTTTTGTCTTTTAGCGGGGTATTCCTGACCTGAGGAACCTTGGGACAAGCCTTGGACATCCTTGTTTCTCTGCAGACATTGCTCAAAATCGGTCATCTTGATAGACTGAGTGCCTTGTGCATATGCTTTCATAGGCCTTTGGATCAAATACTTGTCTCTAGTATGATTCTCACTCTTCTGAGTGTTTTAAGGACCAGGTGCCTCTCCAGAGTGGCTGCTACTGTCACTAACACCTCAGGGAACAGCATGTTAATGTTAATGGAACTCTTCACATGCAGTTTTGAGAGAGAGATCTCCTAAGGGTACTGAAAAGCATCCAGGTTTACAGCTCTGCTGTGATATGAAGACCAGTGACTTGCTTTGCAGTCTGTGTTAGTCTGCAGTGGTACTGTGCCCAGTGAGATGTCCAGAGGAGAGATTTAATCCTCGGGGAGAAGACTGCCTGGCTGAGGGAACAGCAGAGCACTGGCTGGGCAATCTGGAGTCCATGGGGTTCATTTTGGTTGTGTCATTAAAGATAATGACAAGGTGATGCCAGACAAGTCACTTCAACCTCTTTGTGCCTCAGTTGCCCTCTTATACACTAATACAGAAGAGAAGGTACTGATCTCCTCTGAAAAGAGCCTTTCCAACCACATAGGTAAAAGGCTATACGTGGAGATGGAATTATATGTGATGGCCAGTGAGGACCTAGGCAGGCTCTCCTCCTGCCCCAGCACAGCCTGCATTGCCTGCCCTGACCCTCGACCCTTGTAATGCTACCTGGGGAGAGAAAGAGCGTGTCCTAAAACTGTGAGAAAGCCTGCGGGTTGTAGCTGCTATCTGTCAGGGAGGATGGTTGTTTGCTTTCCATGTCCCCTTAAGTGTTGTGCCCTGGTTCATTAAACTGAGCCTCTTGTCAAACAAGCAGATGTTTTCTTTGTCACAGGACTCCAGGAGATGCCCAAGGGGTGCCCTAAGCATACAAGAACACCCCCTGAGGAATGAAAGCTTCACGGGGTTTTGCTGGGGCACTCGTCTGGGGGGCAGGGGGCAGAGCCAAGGGCCTGCCCTGGGGGATGGCAGCTCTGTGCTGCCTTGGCTCAGCACCCAGTCTGGGCGCCCTGGCCCCTTCCTTCTCTTTCGGTCTAAGATGCTGCTGCCTTTCCTCTGGGGTATCTGCTGTCCACTCTTTTACCTTCTTAGACCATTGTGTTTACTAACTGCACCTGGAAATACAGCCTTTCTGCACACCTTTTGTGTTTTCTGTTCATTCCCAGTTCATCCTGGGTTGGGGTTTCCCAGGCTGTGACAGTTGCTGATGCATTATCATTCATGCCTCATTTTTCACCTGTATTGAGTAGTACACCTTACACAAAGGAGCTGTAGTTTAAGAGTTACTCAAAATAAGCAGTGTGAACTAAAATGATGTCTCTGATCCACATGTTGGGAGGAAGTGTAGGTTCCGCTTGTATCAGGGTGGTTTGTCTCCAGCTACCAAATGCCTGGAATTAATCCTGTGTAGCTGCAGCTTTTATATTAACTTCATCGGAGCAAGGGCTGACAAGAAAGCCTCCTTCGTAACCCAAAATAGGGTTCTGGCTTTTAACACAGAGAGATCCAGGGAACTTGTCCACATTCAGTGCAAGGTAAGTGCTCGACACCCATCCAAACCGTGCTTCACCCACCGTAAGAGGCTGGTGGAGGCGCTTCTGCAGTGTGGGGCTGGTAAAATGAGGAGTTGCTTTCACTGGCTGCTCTCCCTACTTTGGCCCTAGCTGGGAACATGGAGAAAATATTTTCCTCGAGTATTACATGCTCAGAAAACGTTACTTACATACCTCTTGCGTTAAACATTCTGCCTTTCTGAGATTTTGCTAAAAATCCACCCAACCTTTTTGCGAAGGCCTGAGGTAAAACTTCACGCTTGCCTCGGAGAAGCGACGACTTTCTGTGTGAAAGCTGAGACTGTTCCTTTAAACGCAACCCCAATATGTCTGGGTATTTCAGCACATATGGGCCACGATGCTTAAACCCTTCCCAGCTGGTCCGGCCGTTCTGCCGCGAAGCCTCTCGTCTTTGTTCGTGGCTAAAAGGGAGGGTGGTGAGAGACGGAGCAGGCTGTGAAAGCCGCGGGTTGCAATCCTGCAAAGGCAGGCTGCGGGCAGAGCGGGAGGAGGTGATGCACGCTGAGCCGGCAGCCTGGCTCGCCACGCCGGAGGGGCTGGAGGGGTCTTTGCACGACATTCTCCATGGGGGAGATGATGTCCTTGGAAGTATGAGCTCAGAGGGTCTTTTAAACCACCCGGAGGCACTTTGTTCTCTATATTCTGCCCTTCTCTCCCTTCCCCCTCTTGCCCTTTGTCATTTCTCAGGCTGGCTCTCGCACGAGTCCCATCTTCCCAACCTGTCCCCCATGGGGACAGTCCTTGTCAGAGGCTTGCCTGGCGCTCCTGCGAAGGCAGGGACATGGGATGGAAAGGCAGGATTTTCCCTACCAAGGAAAGAGGAGAGGTTTCCCTCCCTTTGGAGGCCTGGGAACTACCCCGCGGTGGCAGTTTCACGGGGAAATGGTGGCGATGCTGTCGACTATTGGGGATCTGTGGAGCTAGAGGTCCCTGAGCTCCCCGGGTGGAGGCAGCCAGGGCGGGGGATGGCCCCCTGCCTCTCCTGCCAGGGCAGGGGGGTGCTGGCAGCATGCTCCAGTGCTCTGGCTGCCCCCCAGGAAGCCCCCACCAGCCGTGCAGCGCTTTGCCAGGGACAGGGGCTTCGCTTTGCTTCCTTTCTTCTTCCTCATGTGCAGCCTAAATACCTTCTTAATTTCATCTCATTATTTCCTGCCTAAATAATTCCCGTTTCTCCTGGGGACCGTATTTAAACCTTTGATCTTCTCTGAAGTCTCACAATCCCGATCACATTCTTTCTATTTAAATGAATGAAATGTCTTTTTAACTCTTGATTTATAAATTTGCCCACAGAGGAACAGAGGCAGCACACCTTGAGAACACCCGAGCCAAAGCACCCTGGCCTGATCCAGAGCACCTCTAGCCAGACCTCTGTACGGAAGGACCTGCCTGGTTCCTCTGCCCATCCCTGCCACATCTCATCCTCCTCCTGCCTCTGTCCGCTGCAAGGGTGAAGGACAGACACCCTGATGTCCCCCACCCCAGCTGGGCTCAGGATGGTGGGCTCCTGGCTGGGGTGTCCTATGCTCCCACCAGCCCTCAGCATGGCTCCGGTGAGGCCAGGCAGCAGGGAGAGAGCCTGTACAAATATTATTGTTGTTGTTATTACCCATAAATATATGCAGGCACTTAATGACCTTGGCATGGAGCATTTCCTGGGGATTAATGACCAGTTGGCATTAATGGTCCTTAGCTGCACCTCGGGCCATCAGCTCCTCCCAGCCCATCGTTAATCCATGGGAGATGTCTCAGGCATTGATCCTTATTGCTTAATTAATAAATGCAACTTGTCTCCCTGCCTGAGATTTACAGATACTCGCTGCTTCTTTCCCCGCAGCTCTGGAGGTGACTTTTTTAGCACAGGTCCCTCACGCCGGGAGACCCTCGTGGATTTTTGTTTCCTGGCATTTATCCAGGTGTGGGTTACGGCAGCAGGAAAGTCTTTTCTCTCGCAGGTGGGAGGGAAGGAACTGAAATGCTGCTGGGTTTGGGGTTTCTCCGGTGAATGTGGCACGGCACGAGGAGCACATCTTTCCCACCAAACGCAAAGGCTTGGTTACCTTCAGCCGACTGCATCCAAGAGCCTGTGTGAAAAGGAGCGTGAGCCGGCGTGGAAGAACATGGCAATTCTCTAAGACCTCAGCAGGTTCTATAATAATCAATGGTTTTTTTGCCTGTGAGTCACAATTCACCTCTAATCTTCCTCAGGGGAGGTGGGATTTGCTGTCTTTAGTGCTCACGACAGCCACTTTCACGGGCTGAGCATCCCGCCGAGCCCGGGCACTCGCTGCAGGGATGCTGACCCGGCAGCCAGTGTGGAGGTGCAGCCGTGTTTAAACCCCACTCCATGTTTCTCTAGCCTTTACCACCGGTTGGCTTTGTGCAGCAGGTGCTGCAGTATAAATCACGTTAATTCCTGAGGTGCTTTTCCGTTGGTAAGTCTGAAATTCCCATTTTGGTTCGCTGGCTCACCTGGTGAACTAAATTATTTTCATAGCCCCTTAAGGGCATATTGTCAGCCCAGACTTACGGCCGTTATACACCATACCTGAAACATTAATATCTCTTCTAAATATAGTGTATTGACAAGGTATCTGGTATAGTGTAAATCCTTGGGACATTTGATCCAGATCATTAAAACCGAGTGAAGGAAGGGAAGAATAGATCAAGTTACCTTGCCGCTCTTAATTCAAACAAGTGATGAATTATTCATTCCGCTATTAATTCGACAGTCCTCCTGCTTTTTATTTATTTCTCTCTTTATTTATTCTTTTCCTTCCAGATAGACAGCTCCAAAAAGATGCTCGGACACCGGTGAGGGGACACCTGCCTGCCAGAGGATGGGGTGCACGGGGGCGGGCTGCCTGGCAGCGCTGGCTGTGCTCTGCCGGGCTCTCGGGGATGCTCCCAGCAGAGGTAAGAGCCTGGTCCCAGCTCCCAGTGGGGACCTGATGGGCATCTGTGGTCTCCGGGGAGGAGAGGGCTGTTTGTGCGTGCAGTGGTGGCTCTGGGCTGTGCGCAGGTCCCAGTCTCCCGTGCAAGGAGAGGGTCTCCCCCGGCTTGGCCTGGGGAAAGGAGCTGGGATCTACAGCAGCGAGCACGGGACACGGCCGCACGCTTGAGTTTCTGCTTCGTGCTTCTTTTACTGAGGATTGCAGGTAGGAGTTGTCCTGTTGTGGTGTTTGCTGAAGCCTTTGTTAACTTCTGGAGTTGCATATGCCTATATAAATGTGCACACACACATATATATATGTGAACGTATGTACACACATGTATGCTGCTGTGCATGTGCTAAGCCCCTCGCCTTACCTGGATAAAACACCCCCGGGATGCAGGGCAGGGTCAGCAGGCAACACCGTAATTTGGGGGGCAGGGTGGGCCAGGTCAGCCCAGGAACTCGGTTAAGGAGCAATACCTGTCCCCAAAACGTCAGGGCCTTTCTCCCAAAAGGGCTGCATCAGAAATCAA